GAATGCTAATTCCCAAACTGCGCTCAGCATTTTTCTGGGAAGCGTGGTAGATAGCCTCAACCACAGATGTCTTGTTGATTGCTCCTGCAGTTTGAGACGACGGCATGCGACGCAAACATCCCCGAGACACTTGAATTTAACCAGCGTGGGAGATACCCCAAGGATATGTCACGCTGCGAGGGACGGGATTTCTGAGCTTCGATATCCAAGACCTGGGACTTGAAGCTCTTCAGAGGGTCTCAGTTGGCTGCAGCTGAGCAAACCGCCTTCCCACCATGCGCTACACGGGGAAACACCCTCAGGGATTTTTAATTACCGATGAAGCAGGAAGCACGTGACGCTGCCCATGTCCCGGGAACCAGTCCCTCTCCCAATAAAGCCTCTGATGGGCTTGACCTCAGCGGGGGACCGGGGTGATAAGCGCTGTTTGTTGTTCCTGCCGAGTTAACATTCCCTGGCTCAGAGCGCCGTCTCCAGAACTCGCTCAGCTGATGTTCACTTTATAAAAATAACCGTGGCGCCATGTGTTTTATGGAGTTCATTTTAACCCATTGTCAACAAACCCTTGCGGGCTGTGGCAGAACGAATCCCAGGGATGGGGCAATCAAAATTGTTCGGGGTGAGACAGGGGAGGTGAAACAGGAAAGAGGAGGGGGGAGAACGCTGAAGGCAGACACAAGAGCGGCTTTCATACTGGGATTTCTGGGGTGGCAGCCAGGAAGGGTCAATGGTGTCATGACCAGCCTGCAACGCAACGCAACCAGAAAACACCGCCCTGCTCTGCAGCACTAAGTGTTTTACCCAGGAATAAACATGCTGTGACAGAGAAAGACCTGCCCTCCCAGAGCCTCTCTCCCCTCTATAGCTGGTATGCACAGGGCTTCCGACAAACGCCAACGACCCGCTGAACGCAAATGCAGATGGCCCAAAATTCACGAGGACTTGACATCTGCTCTACCCCTAAGGCTTCTTCCCCATCATTCCTGCGCCGTGGCTCCAGCCCTGAATACTCAGGGTCTTGCTAAAGGAAACAGAATAACAATCGTAAAAACATCTAACTGTTCCCTGGAGACACATAATCTAACCCTTCACAGCTGTCGGAGCACAGCCTCCAGTAATTCGGGTAAAATATATTTTTCTAGCTCAGACAGTTAAGTATACATGAGACTTCCCCACGTTCCTTCATCTCCCAGCTTGGACATCACCCTCATCATTCCCTCAACATTTCTAGTGGACACAGGAGTGCTTACGGTCACCACACTCCTGCCTGATGCTGCCCGGCCTCCCAGGAGGAGATGTGCTTCTCGGGATGACTTCAGAGAAATTCAGCTGCAGATATTATAAACCAGGGCAGAAATTACTAAATAAGAGAGCCATGCGTCCTTCCGAAAGAACAGACAGACTCAAGAATTTAGAGTCTTGGACAGAATTTGTGCATGTGTGTTTGTGCATAAGTAGGTGAAAGAAATAAGCAGGTGAGTCAGGGGGAACGTATCTTCTTGTAGAGCACTCAGAATAACGCCACCAAACGTCAAAGCACCGCATTATTTTAGTTTCGCTGGCTCTTTTCCTACTGAGAAATCTTCCAGGTGATTCCTGATCTGGGTGATTCACTTTCATCCAACACTTGGAAGAGACCTGTGAAAGTGAGGGATGAGGGAAGCAGCTCCGCCCATGATGCTCACACCCCATCCTGGCACGCCGAGGTCTCCAGCAGCGGTGTGGGCTCCAGGCTGGGTCTGCCTCCAGAGATGGGAGCAGCTCAGGCACGCAGCAGTCCCTCCAGGTTTGCACTAGTAATTTGACGAGCCCTGAGATCATTCTAAAATCAGGAAGATGGGCAGGTCCCTAGAAGACGATCCTTATGGAAAAATCCTTCTCTGGAGGGAGGGAGCTCCCACACTACCAGTACTCTTGTATTGCTGGAGTGCAGCCCCTCTGCGAAAACATCACCACGGGTCACCCCTGCGCTCATGCTCAGCACTTCAGCTCCAGTAAAATACGCTGCTGGGTCCTAACCAGGACCGATTTTTGTCCTTCACCCACCAGACTGCGCTTGCAGCAGCCAGGCAGGGATTCACAGCCTCACACCATGCACCCTCAGGGTCTCCTTTTGCTGCGTTGGAGGCTCCCTCTACAGCCAGGAATGACCCAGGCTCAGAGCACAGCAGTCAGGGTTCTGAACTCCCTGCTAGAGATACCCCGAAATACCAAGAAGCGCCTTCTCACACCACAGGTCTGCTATTTATAATTCTGCAGGATGCTCCCCTGCACCCAGCCACAAGAACTCTGACGAACAGGCACAACCCCCAGCAGAGACACAAAACTTCCACATCTTTAAAGGATAATCTGCAGAGCATTTCTCCTGCCTGGACGGATATTGCCCTCTCTTAGCAGCAACTGCAGGTTTAGAACGGGAAAGATTTTACCTTCTTCGGCTTCCAGATCCACCAGTGAAGATACCAACACGCCCATCTCCTGACATTTTTTGCTGTGGGCCTTTGACTTCATATGTTTAGTCAGATTCCCTGAAAAGAAGCAGAAAACATACTTTGGTCAATACAGCTCTTTTTTCCTTATTTTTCATTTTGCAAGCTCAGCAGTAAGAAGTTAATAATTTGGCTCGGAACCAGACAAAAGAGGCCTCTGAGTCTCCCCAAACTGCTGCCCAGGACAAACACCCTGTGGCACAAGGTTATGTCCTCCCGTTCGCTCCTTTGCTGCTCCCCTGGGGTGGCGGAGGAGGTGCTGGCAGGGCTGTGGGACCTTTCAGGGGTCGTGCAACCCAAAAAAAAAACCAGTTGGAGTACACATTTGGGTCTAGTGGGGAAGAAAAGTCCTGGATTGCTTTCAGCTGTGACGATGCAGTGAATTAAAATGGTTGGAGCCTAAGGATAAGAAAGACCTAACGCAGCATCACCTCCCACCTCAGCCCAGGGTCACCTGTGTGAAGGTGAGTTGCTCCTCAGCACCAAGGGGCAGGCTGGTTCTACCAAAATCAGAGCTTGAGATGCCAGCAACAGGGAAAAAAAATCAAAACAACCAAAATATAAGCACTCTCTCCTTGCAGCAGGATGGCTCAGATGCTCCGGCATGCACCGAAGTGCCAGGTGAGAGTTTTCAGCTCTCTGGAGCAGGAGGAGTCTTGGATCCCCTCTGCACCAGGGTCTGGCGGCGCTGAGAAAAACTGCCAAAAAGCCCATGAGGTTTCCTCGGGGCCAGGGGGGAAGGAGCCTCCCCGGCAGGGGGAGCCCGGGATGTGGGGGCACTGGTTACTGCTCTGATGGGTAACTTGTGGGCACGCCGGCCTCGCTGAGCACCTCTCTAATTCTAACTCCCAAATCCCACGTTAATTAGACAGTTCTTAACCTGACTTTGACCCAAGGGAAAGGCCTGAGCAAAGGGAAACCTTTGCTGAGGGGGAAAAGGCAGGTAGGTGGAATGGAGAGGAAAGTCAAGGGTAGGATAAATAAAGAAAAAAGATCTCATTTTTGCCTTTCCTCTCCCACACCTCTTTATGGATGCCCTCGCTGAAGCCCCACCAAGGGCTGTTTGATTTCCCAGCCCAGGAGCTGGCTGAGCACTCCAGATTCACTGCAGTGATGTGCTGGGCCATCAGCCCTCCTGCTAGCTAACACCTGAGGGTAGTGCTGAACGCCAGTTTGTTATCCTCAGCCAAAAGAAAAAAATATTGGGGAAAAAAATGAATTCTCACACTTTATTATAACCTTCAGCTGAGGACTGAGGTCCCTCAGCTCGTATCCTGCAATCCACAGAGTCCCCCGGTCCCTGAGCTGGGTGGGAGGATAGAGGACCTCTATCAACCTCTCCTCTGGATAGTATAAATAAATAAGCAACTATTCATTGGAGCAGAGAATTACCCGTGACGCCCTCACATCTCAGAAGAGTGCCATAACCATCTAGCTACCAAGTTAGTTTCTTTTTAGCCCATGAATTATTTATTTAGCCCGTTTTATACTAAATGGAACAGCTCCAACAGGAAAGACCAAGAGAGACAAAGGCTGACTATATATCCTTGTGTATCTGGCACCCATCTAGGATACGATTCAAAGGACATTTAATAATTTAAATGCAGCAAAACAGCTCCAGTGAGAGAGATTTATTATTTTTAAACTTCTTGCCTAAATACCCTTAGCCCCATGGTAAGGACACTCGGGTATGAGGATGAGGCCAGCTTGGCCCAGGTCCTTGCTCCGAATCAGACCTCTCTTTCTCCACTTTGGACCAGTTTTGTCATGGACCCAAAGACACCCAGCCAGGCAAGAGCCTGTTCTCATGGACACCCCTGGTTCCAGTGAATCACCATTATTTTAAAGCGAAAAACTGTTTCACTGCAAAGTATCCAACAAGTCCAAGCGGTGGCCTCATGGACCTGGAATTTAATTTTGGACCTAACCAGCAAGAAGACAAACTGACTCAGTCTGTTGAAATCACGCCCTGCTGCTGCCTGTCCATCACTGCACATCACATCTGGGCTGGCAAAAAATGACCCATCAGCTCTGTTACCGCAGCAAAATCCCTGCCTGGATTCCCTCCAACGACAATAAACACAGAAAATAATCCCCAGTAAATGCCTGGCATGAGCAGGGGGTTGCTCCGTGGCACCACGGGAACGCGGCTGTGATCCCCGCGGTGGGAAAAGCGGGGAGGGGAGGTCCACCGGGCATTCTGGGGCTACTGCAACCCCAAATCAAGCTCATAAATGCACCGTGCTACGTGCGTCTGGCTTTGGCTAAACCGGGAGGGCATTAATTGCTCAGCAGGGGAGGCTCTTGAAAGCAACATTTTTGGGCAAGAGTGCAGCTACCCCTCCTCGAGGGAAGGGCTCTGGTCCTCAGAGGCACACAGTGTCCACCTGGGTCCCTCAGATGCCCAGAGACTGGTTGCACACATGAGTCCTCCCGCTGCCTCTGCTCCCGCGCTGTTTGCAGTGAGCTAAACCCTCTCCCTTTGGCCACTGTGGGATCTGGGCAGATGCAGGGAGCCTGGCCGGCTGCTTCTGCAGCTTCTCCACCCCTCACTTCATTACACCTCTGCTTCCACTCAGCTCCACCCCGAGCAACGGCTCAGGTTGTCACGCTCTGCCAGAAGCCACCGGCGTCACTTCCTTTCTTATTTTCTTTTCCTGGAGGCAACTGTCCCTGTGCAAGGCACCGCTGTGGCTTCTCCTCGTCCTTCCCCACCCCAACCGCCTGGCCAGGTGGGAGCACAGCCCAGGCAATGCCGAAACCCCTCGTGCAAATGCGTTTATGCAAAACACCAAAGGACCAATTCACAGCAAGTGTCGCTTTCTTTCCCCTTCTCTGCCCTGCTCTCCATCTTCCTTGGCTCCCATTTGCTTAGATAAGGTAATACCCACCCGCACTGATGAACAAGATAAGCCTGCAAAGCTCTCGGTGCAAATCCCCTCGGTGCACGGTCTATCCCTGCGCAGCACCCTGCAGGCAAACCGAGATGAAATTCCAACCAAAGAGGGATGCTGCTGCCCTTTTAGGGAAGGGAGACTCAGCGGGACGGATTCTCAGCTGCCCAAAGTTAAAAGCTCGAGGCTTCTTTACACCATCTGAGAAGCTGCGTTATCATCTTGGGAGCAATTTGGAGGACAATGATATTTATCTTATCAGGATTCTTCTTACAGTTTGTGTTTTCAGACCCCTTAATTAATCCTGGCAGGATTAAATGCTAAAGTCCTTCGGCACATTTCCAGTGAAATCAACACCACTTTGCCTAAGTAAAAGCTGGATGTGAATCCTGCAAAGAAGGGCTCAGAGCTACTTGTTGCCTTACAGAGTTCTGGCTCCCAGCTTAAAAATAAGGAAAAAAAAAAAAACCACACCAAAAAACAAACAACACATAGCACTGCCTCCTTGGAAACAGTGGAGAAAACAAATCTGCAGGAGCATGAGAGAAACTAGCAGGCAGGGAACCAGGATTGAAATAGCAGAAGAGTTATATCGAATCCTAAGCAGGTAAGTGGCCCTCACTAAGGACTGCCTACCAAAAACTCCCCAGATTTGAAATAAACTGGCTTTATTTAAATAAATTCAGGAATTGGTGGAAATTGTGACTGCACCCCAACTATCGCCGCGTGGCAGGAGCGCTCGCAGCATCAGCACAGCTCTCTCCTTACGCCTGCTTGTAACTGCGTTACCGGCTGCTTAAGCTCTTCTCATGTTGGGAGGTCTTATTCTGGACTTAAAGCAGCTTAAATGCTTGTGTTGTTTTGAGAAAGCTAAAACTCTAGTGCTCCAAAAGCACTTAAAGCAGCTTAGCAGGGACTAGAAGTGCTTTCCCAGTTAAATTTAAAGAGGGAAATTGATTTTTCAAAAAAAAAAAAAAGCCATTGTTGTGTTTTAAAGGTGGCAGAGCTCAAGCAAAACATAGGAAAGAGAAATATTAAGATTCCTGGAAAAGCTGTATCGGGCACACCCCACGCTTTCTGATTCTTCTGTTCAATGTGAACAATTTAACAACAAAAATACTCAACCCAACAAAGGACCAGCTGCGTGATCTCAGTGTCTGAGGCTGCGATAGAAACACACACATCTTTCTAGGACTCAAGTATTTTCACATTTCCCTTTTAAAATAATATGCAAGGAGAGTAGCAGCTACTCTACAACTGGTGGACTCACGCTTTGCTCTGAGATGCTCTCACACGCAGAGAACCAGCCACAAGCCAAGACTGCTCATCCCAGGTAGAGCCTTGAAATGGGTTTTATGTGTGACTTAACGCACAGGCCTTCATCTAGGTCTCGGCATGGAGATAATGTCCCCAAGCGAGACTCCACGACAAGGAAAGCTTGAATTTGTATAATTTATTGGGCAAAAGATTTCAATTTAAAAAAATTCTGTTATTCTCTTTTACACTTGCGGACGTAAAGATTGAAGGACAGAGATTGAACATCCACCCTGCCTGTATTGATATCAGCTAGAAAGCATTAAACATCTTCTGGATCAAGCTGATCAGCTAGAATTGACCAAAACCTAATCTTCCAGGAAGGCACCCAGGCTGGATTTGCAGAGGAAAAAACACAGACAATTAGCATATTTCCCATTGAGGCTTGTGCTGAGACTTAATAGCTGCACTGTTTAAAAAAATAACAGCTAATATTTCACTCGAATTTGCCAGTCCTTTACTTCCAGCCCTCATTCCATTTTTTAACCTTTCCCTGGTGAAGTTAAAGAGCCCTTTTGCTCTTCTGCCTGGATCCCCGGGTCATTTTCTGTTCCCGGCGACACGTCCCACGCCACGTCATGCAAGGGAGCAAGAGCAAAACACTGAGGATAACTCCTTTCTCATCCCACCGGAGCTCTGCGACACCCTGAGCAGCTGGGGGGACCAAAACCTCCTCCCAGCAGTGGCCCCACAGGGATGCTCGGACCCTTTCCTGGAGCCCCAGCACACACAGGGTGCCGGGACATTTTGCAAACCAGTCTGTCACCCCTGCCCTGCTCTAAGAGCAGTTAATTCTTTGGGAGCTTTCTGCCAGTTGGACCTGCTCTGTACTTTCCAGCGGCAGCTTAGCAGAGCGCTGAGTCTGCTAGAGCAGTAATAATAATAAACTGTGCAGCCATAACCTTGCCTTTAAGGGCTGGTGGGGAGCGGGGGGAATGCATTTAATATATTAACATGTTCAATAACCTCAGCGCCTGCCATGTGCTGATTTAAGGGACTGCAAACTAATTTATTAAAGGAAGACTATGGCTGAGGACATGAAGAAGTCTGGGCGTCTGGAAACCGTGAGTGGACTAGACTATCAAATGGGTATCTTCAGCCAACAGGCGCTCGTGTCCTTTACACGAGCGTCTTTTAAATTGATATGAGCCTCCTCGTCCCTTCTGACCTCCAAGCAAAGGCAGCGCCATGGACACAGCGAGCTGCTCCACACACCTCGTCCAGAAATTTGAAGAAATCTTAAGTAATCAGGACATGAGAGCCTGATGCGAGTCCAAAGGAGAACAGAAAATAGCTGTGGAAAAGGATAATGTCTGCACAGGAGGGGCATTAATGTGCCAACACTGACCCACATCCCCCGCTCACCCACGAGAAGGAGCGGAGGAAGGGGCTGCTCTTCCCTGGAGGGGCTGGAGACGAGGGATGAGGTAAGGATGGAGGTTCCCGTGTGCCCTCTGGGAAGGGGGTCAAGGGAAAAGCTCTCCCTGACCTTCCTGAAAGGGAAAACTGTTAGACTGCAATTTTCCTTCCTTTCCTTCCTGGTAAGAAAACAATGAAGAAGCTGCTTAACTTCTTTTAAACAACCTCTTGGAGGCCACAGTAACGAACCTCTGAGGAGAACGCTGCTACAGTGGAGGTAGAGACACCTCATTAAAGAGGCACGTTTATATCTGGTCCAGGAATGTACAATCAAATAAATCTTTACAAACCAAATTTCCAAGACTGCTGTTTCCATCAGCTAAGCGAGCCCACAGAAAAAAATCTTACCTATTTGCTTTAAAATAACAATAGAAATCTTGCCCTGCAGTTCTGTAACCCGAAGGAACAGCTTCGCTTACAGGGACAGCAACGCGCAAAAAGCAGCATAATTAGAGAAAAGGGGAAAATACTCAAAGCTCTTTCTCTTGCAGTTTTTCCCAGTTCTTGGAACACAGATATGGATTTTCTGGGCTGGGGGAGGGGGGAGAGGTACATTTTAAGCAGATAAAGATCCTCATTAAAAATAATAAAAAAACGTTTAACTGCTTCCAGCCTACTTGAGAGTTTAAAGCATTAGATCATGCTGGAGAGATCTTCCACAGCCCAAATGAAGACAGCTCCACAGATCTCCCCCTTGAGTTTACGCTGAAGGCTAAAATTAACTTTGGAAAGCTGATTTCTCTAAGAGCTTCGGCTCAGCTTGTATTTTTACAAGTGCGGTCCGGCAAGCGAGAGCTCCGGCTCCTCCATTCTGCAATTCACCGTGTTGCACAACTGCACACCAGGAAGGGGGGTCTGAATGAATCAGGGCCCAAAGACACTTTTGCTAGAGGTCTGCTGAATAAGCTGTGAACCACCCAGCTCTGCAAACCTCCTGGGCCTCCAGGTCACACTCCATCACCAACAGGAACGACTGAAACCCAACTTCACCTGATGGTTTTATCAGCGCCGAGGCTGACCTTTTTCTACCTCTCCAGTAACTCTTCCAGAGGTCCTTGTGTCTCCGCAAGCAAAGCACAGAGCTTTGATCCAAGCGCTGCAAAGCTCTGTGGAGTGAGCACGCCCGCAGGACGCAGCCAGGGCTCTGCCTGTCACCCCCCTCCCACCAAAGAGCCGTTTGCATGCAATTCCAAATTACCATCATGCAACTAATTGTCCTGAAATCGCTGATCCGGGGAAGTTCTGCCCCTTCATGCATCCATAGGCAAACGGAGAATTTTGCATTCAAATACCAACACTGGTTTTTTTTGTTGTTTTTTTGGGGTTTATTTTTGAAGGAAGCCTTTCCACGCTCCCTTCATCATGCACAGCTAAAGAAGGGAAGTCCCCTGGGGGACGAGCATCTATTTGCAATGTGCAATCGGCTCGGTCAGCGCCGACACTTTGTGCGCTTCAAGGGAGCAGAGATGAAGAGCAAAGCAGCCAGAGAGATGGTGGAAAGGATGGTTTGATCGTAGCCCCCTGAATAAAAGCCTCGCAGCAGCATGGTGGAAAGCAAGGTGAAGTGACGGAAGAGGCCAAATGGATTCACCTCTCAAAAGGAAAATCTCAGAACAAAGGAACAAAAGCGAGAGGGAAAGATAAAGAAAATGAAGCAGAAATAGCTCCAGGCTGGGAGGGAGAGAAAGAACCACCACTCAGATCTGCTGCGTGTGTCTGATGAGAATTTGGCCTCAGATTCGGTATCACTTCCCCACGCTCTCGTATGTTACCCAGAAATCCCCCGCCAGCTTCACCAACAAAGCCACCGGCTCCAGGCACTGCCCACCCTGAACCAGGGTCCCCAGTCTCACAGGGACATGCCCTCCGCCACACGTGGCAAGGTCCACGCAGCCCCCAGTGGCCCCTCCCCACCCTGCGCCACCTCCCTGGGTCACACTGTGGTTTTGGGGGGGTTTGCTGTCCTTCTTGAGTAATTAAATCTCCCAGTCGTGTCACCTTCTGAGTTTTGCAATGATGGAGCTACAGACAACGTCAAACTTTACGTCAAACTATGGCCAAGAAGCTGAACTCGACATCTTTGTTGCAAGACTTGCCGCAACCAAAGACAGGGACGGGGGGAGATGCGCCAAACCCACGGTGCCAGACTTCTATGAGAAGTTAAAGGGACCTGAGCACCTCTGGCACTTTTGCAAACCACCCGCAGTCATTTGCAAGAGACTATTTTTGTTTGCACGGGGTGTTGCACGCTCCCGAGAGAGTTCACTCGCCCGCTCACGGAGGCAACGATGGAAGTCGCTTGCAAAGAGAATCTGGTGGGAGTGAGGCTGTGGATCATTAGTGACTAGATGTCCTGCAATGGAAGTCTCGAGAGAAAAAGTCTTTGGATATGATGTAGAGAATGTCGAAGCCACATGCAACTGCCAAGGATGGAAATGCGCAGCGCAAACAGATCCTGAGAGCATCAAAAGCCACCCAAAGACTGTTTCCAGGTGCTTGGCCAGGGATGGTTGCCTGTACCCAGGAGCTTCTGCTCTCATTCTGGGGTGGCTTTGCTTACGAATCCCTGCCGGTGAAGCTGTACTTCAGGAACATTCCCTTTAAGAAGCACAAACAAGATGGTGCAGATGCAGCCAGTGCTCTCCACCGCGACACGCATCAGCTTGTTCTCTCCTCAAAATTTCAGCCAATTTAAGGCTCCCTCATCCCCCTCCCTCCGACTCCGGCGTTTTTTTCCAGATCCTGCAAAGGCTTTCCCTTCCCCTTCGCCAGCGGCCCCAAGAAGGCTTGTAAATCAATATACTAAGCAGAGAGGCTAGGAGCTGACTGTCTCTTACCTTTGGTTTTAAAAGCAAAGTTACAGTACTTGCAGACATATGGCCTGACGTCTGTGTGCGTGCGAATGTGTTTCTTCAGCATGCTGGGTTTCTTGCAGCGAATTCCACACTCCTCACATACATACTTCCCTCTTCCACGGCCTCGCACATACACATACTCTTCGTTTGATTTGTACCTATGAGCAACAGGTGTCATGATAAAAAAAAAAAAAAAAAGAAGATTCCCACCTCAAAAGTAGTTGTCACAAGGTTCCTGGATTAATTCAGCATGTTATTGACACCACCGGTCTCATTTACCATTTGCTAGCTCTAGGTAATTAGGATAAATTCAAAATATCTTCAAAAGTTTTGGCCCAGATGCCTTCCTCTTCTGGAATATGTTCTTATGTCCTAAATCTCCGTGCAGACAAATAGCCCAAAGTCTGAGATAAGCCACAGGGTCACCCACATGTCCCGATTTTCCCCATCCTCCAACACAGACAGAGGCACTTACAATAGACTGAGTAAGATACGTCACAGCCCAGCCTGGCTGCCGGAATCATTTCTCTCTCAGCGTATGCTGTGTTTTAAAACATGAGCAGTCTGTTGTCGTGCTATGCAAAGTACTGAGAAAATCCACCCCAGCTAAACCTCTCGGGATACAACCCTTCCCACCCTTCGGGACAACAGCAAAAGCCATCAGAGAAGACCGTGATGCCACACTGCGGTCCCTGCACAGACTCCTGCTAGAATGAGACACCCAGAATGGACACAAAGAGAAGAAAATGTCATTTTTTTTTCAAATATATCGTGCTAACACTAAATGTAAACACCACAGACTCCAGGCTCTTTAAACTTTGCCACAATATCATGACTTAGCTTTACTCGTGGCAATGAGATCGGTCACCCTTCTGTCACGTCATGTATTCATTTGTTTTCTATCCACACGTTAGTGAACAGGGAAGGCTACAGGACAGAGGGTGGAAAACTCTTCGTGAGGCTGAGACAAATCATTTAACCTCCTGCCGTTTAGCAAATGGGGTCTGTAATTTCCTGTTCTTGCAGCACAAGAAGAATAAGGTAACACAAAATTGGTCCCCTCAGGTTTTGAAGAGGCCAAATTTTTGAAGCGTGGTGCTTCTTGCCACTCATTTTTCTATGAATTATGTCTGATCATCAGAAATACCTAAATATCCGCCTTTGAAAATCAGTCCTTCTAAAGGATCTTAATAGGGAATCCGAAGACATGCAACGCCATCAGTCACCTGTTAGCGTCTTTCCAATAAAGTCTATTCCAAACCAGAACGGTGACTAAACAGCAGCCAAAATGAAGAGAAACTAAACATAAACAGCAGGACTAGGAAGAGCTTGAGCACTTAAATAAGTAAAGGTATGGTAAATCTTAAAAGAAAAAACGTATTTATAAAGAAAATAAAAATCATGTAAAACTGAGTATAAAATACACCAATAGAATGAATGCAGCCCTTGAGCTGGTGGGATGATAATGGCAAGGTGTGCACAGGATGCACAAGTGCGGACTGATCTCCCACCCACGCAGAACACAAGTGGCCCTGGCTCCGTTTGGTTTCATTCACTTCGGAAGCACACGGGTGATTTCAGCTCCAGGTGGGTGTTTGGGGGATGTACTACACATGAAAATCAGAATAATCTTTCTGGTGGGTGTGAGTTCTGGACTGAACCCTTCCTCTCCTGCCAAGTCCTGGTCTCTCTGCTGCAAGGTCTCATCTGTAAGAGGCAGCTGAGACGCTTCTTTGCCTTACAGGAGAGATGGGAGCGGGGGCTTAAAAGATGTTGAGTTGCTCGTGCATTGAGGTGATGAGGGGCACATCTCCTGTGGGAGTTCAGGCACAGACTAGAGAAGAGAGAGGAGAAATGGGTCTCTAGAGAGCCCCAATCTCGCCTGAACACCAGGAGCAGCACCAGCACAACCAGGTCTTGGTCTCCAACAGCTACAGAGGAGGGAACAGCTTGTATTTCTGTCCTTCAGCATCAGCAGCAGTTCTCCAGACCATAATCAGGGTCATCAGGCAGCCCAGATACTCCATTCTTACCTCCTGTAACCGAAGCCACAGCAATGCCATCTACCATGAGCCTTCTACCAAAACAAAAACCAATCAACAAGAACAACAAAACCCCTTCATGACAATGTTCCTTCTCATTGTCTGGCCAGAGGGGATTGAGCTGGTGTCTGAAGAGCAGGCTCTGGCTGCCAGCTCCACCCTAGTCCAGCTATCTCCATCCGACTGTGCAGATACGATACCAGGGCTCACGGAATTAATTGTGCCAATGTCCCTTCTTCCTTCAGTCAGTGACTTAAAGCAGCAACAGCAGCAAAAGGAACCAAGGAATCCTGATTTCTCTTCTTCCGTTCAAATTTGTATTTGAGGCTTCCCTCTTGCCCTCCTTTCTTTCCGTCATTATGCTGGTAATCACCTTGCCATTTCAAAAATGAAATTACTCCTTTATCAGTCTTGTACTTGCACTACCCTTAATTACACTCTCACATGGAAATTTCTAAGCAAGTTCTTTGTGTCCAACAGTCCCCTCATCAGCCTCATTAAAGCTATCGGGGCTGGCTTTCCCTGGATGAAAAGAGACACGTGATTTAATCTGAAATTAGACATTGCAGTTTATCTGGCACTCTGTGAGACTGAGCCCAGCCCTCAACACAGATCTTTTTCTACAGCTTCCCGAGCCCAGGCGTAAAACACACAAGGAAGGGGAGAGAAACAGAAGAAGAAAGGTAACATAAAGAAAAAGCAAAGCGAACAAGAAGAAAGCACGGGAGGTGACACTGCTGTAACACAGAGAAGGCTGCTGGCAAATGCCATCTGTCTGCACTGGAAGCTCTAATATGTTTATGGAGATAATTACTTCAACATGACGCTGGTTTCTCTGAGGATCTAATAAGCTCCCATGATCTGCACCAGAAAGACAAATCAACGGCAGCAACTTCACATGAAGATTTACCCTGGACAAAGGGTCTTCCTGCTCTGTAACGTTTGTTGTAACCAGATGCCTCTAATACCCACAGTTGGGCTTTGTGTCAGCAAACCCAGGCTTCTCTTCCAGAGCACCGTGGAATTCATAACCCTGTAGTTAGCAACTTACACCTCCTGCAACGTCACAGCTCCCGTCTAATACTGAGAGGATTTCAAACCCAGGAGGCAAACTTGTCCTTATGAGCTTCGGAGGCTACTTTAGGAAACAGTTCTTTCAATCAGATACACAAAAAAAGTAAAAAAATCAGTTATTTGATGCTTTTTTTTCGAAGGTTGTTTGCTGTGTCCTGCTAGGAAATGCACATCTGTTGAATTCTGCGCAACAACTAGAAACACTTTTCAGAGCAAGAGGAACCACAGGCAGCACCAGATTCACAGACTTGACGGCCCCAAAACAGGAGTCATGAGAAACCCAACGACGTGAAAACATGAACCTGGAGAAAGCTTTGTCTCAGTTCTTTCCCTTAAACTTAGCTGAAACTGAAAACCATGAAGCATTTATTCCTTTGCAGGCTTCAGGAGGCTTAGTTCTTCATACTCGCTGTTACAAATATCTGACTATCCTCCTTAGCCACAGACACCTTTTTTTTTTTATAACCTGAGCGCTGTGAGCCACATCCAAAATCTTCACGTGGCTGAAAACCACACGATAAAACCTTGGAGCGCCGAGGAGGAAGGAAGTTTGGTGGTTCACAGGCAGGAAGGGAGAGCAGGTTTCTGGGGGACTCATTGCTTCACCGTGAGACACAGTTGGGCTGAATCACCCCTTCCTACAACGACCGGGAATTTACCTCGTCCTGCAAAGTCCTTGACGATGGGACCTCGCTGGTCACAGCTTCGGCACAGCAGCTGCTCTGGTGTCCTTTGCAAGTCCCCCTGATGCTGTGAATTTGCAGAATTTGAAGCCTGATAAGGTGTTATGGTAAAGAATGCCCCTGGTTAGTTTTGCAGCAACCGACCAAGTATTTCCTCGACTGGTTTTGACATTTGTTGAACTCGCTTGTTTGCTTTTTGGATTTCGGGTACATAGTAACAGGCATCGGATATCTGATCCTTTTCCTGAGCCGCTGCACCAGTTCACAGGCAAATGAACCGAGCAGCTCCCGTTTGTTGCCCTCGGTGTAAGTCTTCTGGTTTCACTGGTGGCACATTTTACCTGTCATCAGGCTGCCCACTCGTCTGCCTTGCCTAAATCCTTTGGAAGCTCCCAACAGTCTGCCCTGGTATTAACTAATCTGATTTATATCTTGTGCCACCTGCAAAATTTGCCAGATGGCTGATAAACGTGTAACTATTGTAACAACGCTAATGACAAGCAAGTTCATTGCCTTTTATAGTTTACAGACCACTTCTTCCACAGTGACACCTGCAATACCTGCTCTGAAACTGCACTTGCAGCAGAAGCCTTTAGCTCTTCCCACTGCATCCTCTGTGGAGACACGGGCTGGGAGACCCTACAAGGCTGCAGAGGTGTGTCCTCAAGTCCAGACAGTTACTATGAAATCTCCCTTAACTCAAGCCAAGCTACAGCAAAACAAACAGAAGGATTTTAGATTTTTTTTTTATAAAATCCACACCAGACAATGTCATTTCCAGGTTTCTAAAAGCATCGTAAAACCTTCTAGTGTACCAGACAGTGCATCGAGACAAACAATGAACTGAAGAATGATACAGCAAGACAGAGAAGAGCTGGGTATGGATATGGGAGGACCTGGCACAGAAATGCCCTCTTCCCTGTCTGGAGTAATGGATCTTTTGCAAACAGCACTTGCCAATCCCCTGTGAAACTGCAGAAGACAGAGTGTGAGTGGAATGAGACCCCGTCGCCCTGACTGGATGCACACAAAGCAGCCTGGTAAGAGAGTATTACTATGAACATCACCTTGCCCTTGAATCAGGTGTCGGCAGCTCCGGTAAGATTTAACACTGGAGGAATTACACCAGCCAAGATGACCCCCTCAGAGGCAGCAAACCTGGGACTGGAAACCATCTGCTCCACAACCCTCCCTGGCACCGAGGTCAGGCTGACAAGCTCCTCGCTCCCCAGAACCTCCTTCCAGCCCTTCTGATCTTCTCCCTGTATAACCTCACAACGTCCTCCTGAGTCACCTGCTCCTTCTTCCAAAGGTTACAAACTCTCCTTTATTTTCCCAGCCAAATCGCTCTGTTTGGCC